CAAAGAGCGGTCCTATACATCCAATTTTCATGACACAATGCTGTACTTACCACCCGTGAATACGTGGGGACCACCGTGAACATACTCGAGCACTGTCCATGGTGCTGGGTTAGGACATCCCTAAATTTTAAATTCAATGGGTGCGGGTCCCACAACAAGGAGTCTGGTAAACTTACCGTCTGCGGTGCAGTGAAGGCGAGAAGTTGTCGAAAATCCGGGCTGTTCAAAATGATCTGAATGTCAGCATCTCTCAGAAGATTACCGGTGGTACCGATGCTTCTTGTGAAAACCCTAGAGCCCTGAAAAATTGCCCTGGGTCTTCAGACTCGGCTATCAGTTGTAGTATGGACTTACATCAAACCGTCAGCCAATTCCTGAAAGCTCCAGTTCTAACGGAACCGTCACTTCCTTGGGTACCCATCAACTCATTTCCCCATATGCATGACTGAGCAGGGTTTGGTAAAGTTTCGTCCAGTGTAGAATCCCAATACGGCAGCGCCAAGCTGGGATCAACACGTCGCAAGGCAATCTCTACTCTAAAAACAACGTAAGTAGTTTCGCTGAGTTGGTACCGTTGAACATTGGCTTCGGAGTGACCCATGGCATCCGCGGTCTTACTCGTTTATCAACTCCGGTGAAGAGGAGATGAGTGCCTAGTAATTTTCGACGATGCTACCTCGGGCAAGTGCATGAATAATATCTGCGCAATGACTCCGGTACTATACCATATAATACTAGGGTTATTAGGATCTGCCACTGATAAATTTCCTTTTCAGACCCCAACACCAACCACACAACCTCCAATCGAAACCACCACACCCATCGTGCCTGTGCAGGAGGTAATTGTGAAAATATTCTATAAAAAATTAGCAGAACCTTCAAGTCATCGAGCATTAGGTACACACATCGAAAACTCGTACAGAGTGGGCGGGGCACTCCCAAATATCATTAATGATTGATGAATGACAACCGAAAAACAGCGCTTTAGGCAAATGGCATGGAGGCGGTCATATGGCGCGATCCATTGGCATTAGAGCGCACAGGCCGCAATTGCCCATCCTGCTGCGGCCGGACAACTCGTCCGTATCACTCAACTATTAGACTTCAGTAATTGATCGATCTGATAATTTGGGTCTCAAAAATCTCGCTGAGTCCCAAAGATCTAAAAAGCGAATAGCTTCACTTGGCCTCCAATGCCAATGGGATCGCGCCATATGACGCACACCCAAATTGCATAGCGGCAGCTGGGCTAGATTTTGATTCCCTGTAGTGGATATTGGAGTTCTGCTGAAAGTACAAAAACAGCGGTATCGAGACCGGTTCAGCAAGACGAGCGCTAGGTCTGTCCCCCACAGCGCGAATTAGCTCTGCGCACGACGGCGGAAGGTTCATACTTACCTAACTCCTGATCTCTCGCAATGGTACCTAAGCCTCCCATGACTCGAATTCCTAGAAATGCCCATACCTGGTTAACACAAGAATAGCCTGCTTTGCAAGACATTGCGTGCTCATAGAGCCACATCTCGAAAAGGACTTATTGGCACACCACCACTGCAGTTACATTGGGGGGCATGGGCGTCTCAAAGTAGATGTAAAATTAAAACAGTGTATTCGCTACTTTTTTAATCATGTCGCATTTCTTTCCAGACATGCTACAATGAACAGCAATGCTGCGCACCATGGGCCTCTCGAGGAGAATGTGGCAGAAATCCGACCTATATGAATCTTTGGTGTGAGGCAAGTTGCGGTGTCTGCACTCCAACTACGTACAATCTGAACACAGGTAAATTCATTCCGGGGAGCCAGTCAAGAGTCCCCCTCGACAGCCGCGCTAAAACTAGGTCACCGCGCGCGACGTCGTTTTGCAGTTTGAAACATGGCAATTGGCCAAGTTTAGGATCCGCCTCTCTAGACGATCGATACAACACTTTTTTGTTCCGTCTGTGTAGTCCCCATTTCTGCATTTGTTTTAGCTTAGTCCTAGCAAATTGCCACGTTCCAACTGCAACGACCTGGATACGGTAGCCGCCGCGTGCGGTGACCTACTTTCGCTTGCGCGGCAACCTCAGAGGAACTCTTGTCTCGCGTCCTCCATTCCGCATACATACCAAAAGGAGCTATACCGGATGGGTTATATTAACCCACGCCGGGAAAAAGGATGACCTGGTCTGAAGAAGGGATTCATAATGGATGAGAGTTCAGAAGAACACCTCACCATCAGACCGAAGTCCATACTATGCGCTTTGGGAGAATCGAAAAATTATGATATATACGTATTGTTGAGGAAAATCGGAGAACTGGATAATCGGGGAATGAGAGAATTTCCAAGAAGAGTTACAGTCATCTTAATTAATTTAGCTTCTGTAGCTGTAGCTCCTATCACTCCAGAAACGTTTCTGTCGATTTTATTGAAGAGAACTGAAGAAGTGGATAATCGCAGAATGAGGGATTTTCAGACGACAAGGCCATTAATATTTTCTCAGTTTTTTGTGGACTCTCCAAACCTCCTATTCTCCCAAAACGTTGAGTACGAGGTGTCTGCTCACTTGGCCCTCAAAGGGAACATCCTTAAAGGCAATTTTTGTGAAAAATCATGCTGTTTTTCCAGAGTGCTCGGATCGCAATGTGAGGTGCACTGAATGGGCTCGAAGAGGTGAATGTCGAACTAATCCATCGTGGATGGCGGAAAACTGTCGCCAGGCCTGCAACGCGTGTGTTCAGACCAGATTGCAAGCTTGTGGAGGAGGAGGTTTGTCTACCATTTTTTGTCATATGTTTTATTTATTGGAGAAAACAAGTCTGCGCGAAATGGCCACAAAACGTACGCAAAGCCAAAAAGACAAAGGCGCACAGTGAATTACATAATACCCGTCCTTAGAAGTGGAACAAGACAGAGCAAAACATAAAGTGCTAGAGAACGTCGTTAAATCAGGTTACTTAGAGTTAAGTTCAACCATGTTTGATTATTGGAAATATAATATATATTTCGACGCGGGAAACAGCTGAGAACACAAGGACTTAAAGGCAGGTGGCACGATAAACTGTGTGCTGAAGAAGGACGAATGTATCTACTATGAAGAAATTCTTGCACCCAAGGAAGCAAATTGTGGCACTCCCACAGACCATGGGCGTGCCCGTAGC